AGGGCAAAAAAAAAAAAAATACAAGAGCGTATCTTTGTACAATGATTGCAGGAACAGATGAATAAACATGAAACCTGATACTTCACATCTGGTATTTCATCACTGCAAATACCTTATTCACATTCAAATATATTTAACACTGTGGAAACTTTATAAGGTAACAATGTCTTTATGGAGGCAGCAACTTGCATGGAACTTTTAAAATTAAAAGTAACGGTAAAAATAATTTGTAACATGTTACTGTACTCTTCATAAAGCTATTTACCTCACATTTTCCTAACAGAAACACAGAAAAACACCAAATAATGGCAGTTAAGTACAGAATCAGGCATGCCCACAGAATAGGATTTCTTTTGTCAATGTTCTAGTTCAAAGTTCAATTTTAATACCCAATTTGCACAAGGTGCTTTGGAAATGAAGACTATTATTACTCATCATACAAAAATTCTATTATCTGAGCAGAAATTTTCATGAAAGTTTCCTTTTCCCTTAACAGTGCATGCCAAGAGATTTTATATATAACCTAATAAACATACACAGTCCTGAAAGGCCACTGTGCAATTTCTCACATTAATTAGTACTCCTTCTTCTCTGCAAAACTACTAATCATGCTAAAAAACTTCCTTTTAATAATCACTACATACTCATAAGCACTTTTGTTGTAGAGATGAATACCTTCAATACAAACTTGCAACTGAAAGGCAGTTTACAGGTCTCAAAATTTTTTATGAAATTATTTTCTTGTCTTTAAGGCAAAAAGCCACCTTTACTAAATTGCGGCTAATTTAGCAAACATAACAAAATGTCTGGGGACATATTCCACTTGCTAGCACTTATGGCACTTCAGCATTGTCCCTAGAGCTGCACTAAAGCTCTATCTAAATTTTTTAAAAAAGGGAAAAAAAAGGAAAATGTGCAGACAGAGCCAAATCCCAAATCCAATCCCGTGGTAACTCCAGTGACTTCAGTGTTACACCAGGGATAAAAGTAGGGCTGCATTTCACAGCAGCTTTCATTCTTGTAATCTTTTCCAAAACACTCTCTCAGGAGCAAAGACAAGCACAGGCAAATATCTTGCCAATAAGTGAGTTCACAGGGATTGCTACAAGTTACTAAACTGTCAGCAGTAACAGACCAACAAGGGGAACAAAGAACAAACACAGGACAGCCAATGCCCTCTAATGGGCTGGAGTTTCACTATGAGCTGCATAAACAAGGACATGGAAATTCATTGGAATGGATCTCTGAGGCACAAGGCAAAGCACAGGGCTTGCACCAGAGGATGATATTTGTGTCTGATCAATACTTCTGAGACAGTGCAGATGAAAAAAGCCTTACCAATGCCTTGGCAAGGCAGGTGAAAATGTGTTCAAGGACTCAGTCTTTCCTCCGTGGCCTACACTGGACTGCTTCCACAAACGGTGTGAGATCAATGTATAGATGTGTTCCCCTATCCTCCTTCAGGACTCCACATTTATACCCTCCTCACCTTTTTTTAATTGTCCTTACTTTTAGTCAATACTGTGCTAGGAGCAAAACCAGCACTATAAGTCCTTCACAACCTCCCTCACAAAGGAAAAGGGAAAAGGAGTGATGGATAGAGCTTTCCTGCAGGAAACTTATCACATGTCCCTTGGCTTTATCATGTACTCCCTTTCTCTCTCAAGAATTTCAAAACTAGTTGCTGGAATTTCTCCATCCAAACCAAAACAAGCATCTTTGCTTCTTACCCAATCATTCCCTACAAATTTAAAACCAAGAGTTTCCTTAAGCTTTCATTTTGTTTTCTGAGGGTTCCTTCAAGGAGTCATAACCCTGGGCCAGCCTGAAATGCTCCTGATCTTGCACAGGTCACAGTTTTGTCTTTGCAGCCTGAGGATGCCCCAAGGCAAGAACAAAAATGTTAGGACATCCCCTTTTCTCTCCCCAGCCAGGGGCCCCTGTAACCCTTTTCTGTGGGGATAGGATCAAAAGTCTTTTGTTCTTGTCATTCTCTTGTGTCTTAAGTTACATTTTTGGGAAGGCAGGGGGAGAGGGAAACATCCTTCCCTCCTTCATCCAAGGTCTCAGCTGTAGAGGAGCAGCTGAAGGGACTCAGGCTGTCTGCAGAAGTCACAGATGTCCCCCAGTGCCACTGGGGCAGCTCTCCCATCACATCCCTGCTCTCACCCAGGTGGCACCGCAGGCAGGAGCCCCTTGGCCACCCCTCGCCCACAGATCCCAGTGCTCTCAGTCCCCCTTGAGCAATCCCCTGGGTGCCCTGGAGCCAGCTGGACACAAACCTCTTAGAAATCATTTAAGGATGATTTTTAGACCACCACAAAGAACTGTGAAGAAACTCTGGCTGCTTGCTTACATGAACGTCGCAAAGCTCTCATTAAATCAAAGGCAGAGACTTAAAATATTTCTTCAAGCAAAATCTCTGCCCTTCTCACAGTCTCCCTCCAAAGATCAAAAACTACAATTGCTTAACTTAATCCACACAGAGTGATCATTATATTTGCTTCCATAAAGATCAGATTTGTTCTGGTGCCCATATCTAAAGGTAATTTCAGTTAGAAAATGAAATGGTGCTCTCTTGACCTTTTGTCTTACGTGGCCCATGAATTACTGACACATTACAGTATCCCCCAACACTATGGAAGCTTGGCCATATTGCAATGTCTCTCTTGTAAGTGAAATAAACTTGGTATGCCACTAAAAGGCATTAAATTATTTTCATTATGCCACACAGAATGTAAAACACTTACACTGTTTTGATTTCAAAATCCTTGGAGAACAATTATGCTCTCAGGGCCATAAGACTCTATTAGGAAGTCCTCAGAAACCTAGCATGGTTTCAATAAATCCTCAAACACTACAAAGCAGTCACTCAGTTTGAAGAATGAAAACATGAGTTCATCCACTGCAAAGTCAGGATGTAAATTCTGCTCATACAGTACCCCTGCACTTCCTAACACATTTCTTCCTGCCCAGTCAGGGCAACACTTTAAGTGAAGTTTTCAGCATCAAGCAAGCATAGCTCCTTTTTTGATTGAAAATTAACTATATTTGATTTAGGATTAGCATAAATAGGAGATGTGCCTATGCTTATGGTGTTACTAGCTACCAGTATTAATCAGCAATTAGATATGCACAAATAGTTTTATACATATATAATTCAACAAATGTTAACATTCCGGATTAGGAACCATTAAACGAAATCAGAGATTGTCACAATGAATGGATAAATATGTTAATTTCTTTAATTTATACAATGGCACCAAAAAAAATGCTTCAAAACACTAAAATGTAGATTTCAGGGGTGACTAGTGTGGTTGTAGGGATCCTGATTTTAAAAAAACCAAACAGTACAACACCCTTATTTTGGCTGATGGGCTGTTCCAGCCTAAGTAAGGCTTTAGAGCACAAATACACAATGAGCCTGTTTGTATATACATGCTTATGTACTCCCAGAAGGAGCACAACCTCCTAATTAGGCAAATCATCTGCCCTTTCCATAGGAGAATAGCCCAGAAATAGCTGCTTCTCCATAGGAAAGCACCGAGAAGCAATCCCAACACGGGGAGAGGGGCGAGCAGGGAGCACCGCAGAGATTCCACGCCCTGGGGCAGGGGGCGAAGGGGCGAGCGGGAGAACGAGGAGGGGGAAAAGGGAACACCCAGGCAGGAAACCCGGCCCGGGCACTTTCTGTCCATGGCAGCTGAGACGCTTCATCCCGACCCTTTTTTTCCCGGCCAGGACGTGTGGTGTGGCCGCGGGGGTGACAGGGCAGCTGCGGAGGGACCGAGCGGGGCACCCAGCAGTGCCCGTGGCCTCAGCCGGGCACAGCTGGTGGCAGCTGCGGCAACATCTGTCCGGGGCCGGGCCCTCTGCCCCGCCAGGTAGCAGCGAGTGACGGGGGTGTATCCTTGGGGCATTGCTACCCATCCCCTGGCACTGCCATCCATTCCTGGGGCACTGCCACCCATCCCCTGGCACTGCCACCCATCCTCTGGGGCACCACCACCCACCTCTGGGGCACTGCCACCCATCCTCTGGGGCACCACCACCCACCTCTGGGGCACTGCCACCCATCCCCTGGCACTGCCATCCATTCCCTGGGCACTGCCACCCACCTCTGGGACACAGCCACCCATCCCCAGGCACTGCCATCCATTCCCAGGGCACTGCCACCCACCTCCGGGCACTGCCACCCATCCCCGGGCATGGGCACACAGGCAAGGGCTGTGCCAGCCCCAAGGAGGAGTTTGGAAAATGGAAACGAGGAAGGGATGGGGCGAGAGAGAGCTCGGAGCAGCGGCCGAGAGCTGTCACACGAGAGCTGTCACACGGAAATGTCACACAGAAATGTCACACGGAGCTGTCACACGAGAGCTGTCACACAGAAATGTCACACGGAGCTGTCACACGGAGGTGCCGCCATCCCTCCGCGGAGCAGTGCGTATTTACAGAGTGTTGGCATCTGATGGAGAGCAGTTTGCACGCAGGGAAAGGGGAAAACAGCAGTGAGAAAAGACACAAAAGCACTTCTAACTTGCCTTGTTCATGGGGAGGCTCCTGAACACAACAAGAACTTTGACACCTTGCAGTTCAGGACTGCATAATCTGCCACACCACCACACAGTCTGCACTTCCCATTTCCCTGTCTTCACTATTCAGTGAAAAATAGAGAAAAATGCCTGATTTTTTTTTTGTGTACCCGAGGAGCGACACAATTAAATGCTTGTTTTGAATATTCACATTTGGCCATGCTGCGATAACTAATAAGACAATTCTGTATCAATAGTGCTTTCCTAGTGCCAGCAGAGAAGGAAATGGCTTGGACAGTCCTGAACACAGCACCAGTTCAGCTGAGCTCTCTCAGCTTCACAGATTTCTTCATGATTTGCTCCAAAAGCACCAAAATCAGAACCAGGAACACTGTGTAGAAACAAGCTGGGCTTTACAGTTCTCATGTTGAAACAATTATTTCCAAAGGCTAAATGTGCACCACTTACCATACATTTTGCCTTCATCTGATAAGATGATTTTCCTCCTCCCACATGGTGGATAGATAGCTAGAGCCTCCTGAAAGCTCTGTTCAATGTCAGGGCTCCAGACACCTTCTGCATCGTTGTCAATAGGTTTATCTGCAGAATCACTCATTCTTTCAATGTCCTCGGCAGGGCTCTCGCTGCCGCTCCAGCTGCTGGGCTCAATGGTGATGGCTGGGGTCTCCAAGCCTAAGCCTGGAGTCTTCAAGGGAATAAACCTGCAACACAAACAACCAACCCAGAGAGGCATTAAAGGCATGGAACTCCAGGCAAAGATTCCTGCCTGCTTCTGATGCTAAGAGAACAGCGGCTGAGCAGTACCAGCAGCAAGGCGAGCACGGGATGCACCCAGGAAAAGCGAAAAATTAATAACCATTCTACCTCAAATGAGCTGAGGTGGAGCAAGAATGCTGGCAGAAGGGCAACTCCACTGCATTTTCTGTTGCAATTACATGAGGGCATAGAGAATCAGAGTATTTTTCATAAGTAGTCAAAGTGGGGGAAAACTCTCCAGCCACATTGCATCTGGCTGAAGACTGGCACCCTTAAAATAAAAAGCCCTCAGGCAGGGGGAAATCAGAATACTGCCACTGCTGGAAGGGGAGCACACTGATTTATGCCAGAGTGACCACCAGAGCTTAAAACCATTTGAACCTAAAAACAAAAGCAAAAACTATTGTTCGCATTCATCTGGATGTCAGTGGATTAAATGGAATTATAGCAGTGATGCCACAGCTCAATGTAATTAACTGGAAAAAGCTTTAATTTTCAAACAAATAATACAATCAGAATCCAAGCCACATACAAAAAGAAATCTTAAAAATGATAATACCAGAGCAAGGAATTACAAGAGAAGATATATGCTTTGTCTGATTTAAAAGGTCTCTGTCACAGAGCCATAGCAGAACAAAAATTACAAGCTTCAAGTTGCTGAATCAATTTAATAAGAAATAATTTAATATAGCTGCACCTGCTCACACCAGCAGAGCTGCAGATCTGTCAGTGTTCCTTTTATATTTTTGAGAGAAATACAACTCTGCTGTAAAGACTTGCTCCAGGCAAAAAAGCTGCTATACCAGACCACGTTCACCTCTGGTGTAATTCTTTGGGAAGTCAGTGAAATAACACCAGGAACAGATTTGGCTCAACATGTCTAGGCATAATGCAGTTTTATTGTGAAAAAAAGAAGAAGTTTGGTGACTCTAACTGATCTAAATGGATGGGAGTGTTCAAACATGCATGCACGAGCTGCAAACACAGTTAAAAATCCAGTTCCCTGGCTAAACACTCAAAACCCCTAAACTATAAGATTTTTATTCTGCTAGGGCAGAAGAGAGGGGCTTTCCCTTGCACAGACCTCCATCCTCCACGCCTCTCACTGGGGTCTCAGGACAGGTGAAAAGCAGCAGAACAGCCTTCACCCCATGGAGGGAGAAGGGGAAGGTGTATGTGGAAGGCCATGACACCTCTGACTAAACACCTTTGGGCAGGAGAACTGCCTGAAAGGGGAAATATTTACAGCAGCCCTCACCAGCCAGCCAATCACTAGAGATAACCAAAACCTGACGGTCTGGTCCGGTCCCTTGGAGGCCAAGGTGTCTTGCAAAAAAATAGAGCTGCAGCTGGGGAACCTGGGAGCAGGCTCTCACAAACCAACAGGACCAGTTTGACATCCAAAGCACAGGGTATTTCCACTTCTCCAGGCTCTAACCCGAGCTCAGAGGGATCAGTACGTGTGAAAGGGGCTCCCATGAACTCGATTTTCCCTGCTTGCCTGTATCTACAGAGAGGCATTGCTTGACTTTGCATTGGTTGGAACATTTCAGCACAGCTTAGGAAAATGTTAGTGCCTCCCCATCCTAACAGCCAGGCTAATCACTGTCTCAAATGCCTTTTAATAACTGATAATGAGGGAGCAGATGGATTCACAGGGAACCACACATGTGTAATGGGTGAGAACTCTGGCCAAATGCACCACTTATTGTCCAGGAAATCCAAAGGGCACAAAATTTTTAAGTTGTCATCATACAAAGGGAGATGTAAACCTTGGTAAAATACTGAAACTCTGTCCTTCATAGTCCTCAGAAGGCTGAAGGGTTGATTCAAGCCCTGGAAGAGTTGAATTTTGTATGCAAGATTTACCCAAGCATGAGCACAGCGATACTGGGAAACTACTGACAAAAACAATCACATCCACTTAAGCCTTCACAGAGAAGGGGAATCTTTGGTAAATGAGAGGTAATTGAATGTTGATGGGGATAATTAGGGGGAGGGGTCAGTTTTATTGCAATAGTGCAGGGGAAAATGGCTGCTGCAGGATTTATTGGCCTCACATGACTGAACCACAAGGAGCATTTCAGCAGAAGACAGCAGAGGGTGGGACACATCACTGGCTCTGTTTTCCAAAGGTGACTCCAGCAGGAAATCCTTCCCCTCCCTGAGCCTGTGGCTTGCATTGCACAGCACAGCCACAGGCAGCTTCTGCCCAGCTCAACCACCCTCTGCTTACAAAACCTGCCACAGTCATAGCCTCGAGTCCCATTATCATCTCACAAACCAGCCCTTGTTATTACATTATGCTGAAATAATAATTAAAATGCACAAGGAACACAGTGAGGCTCTAAAGTAATTAATGTTACTTGATAGTCATGTCATATCTTGCGTTGTGTTTACGGGTGAATTTTCACTTACGTGCTATCTCCCTTCCCATTCCTCTTTACCTACTTGGATATCATCTTGAGGCACTCATAGCTGCTATTCCAGCCTCTACAATGTAAGATAACCAAGTGTTCCTTGCAGAACATCTCTACAAGAGGGGCGTGGAGCAGCCTGCTGGAAGAAAACCTCTCCTATTAAAGGTTATTTGGAGCAATTTCCATTTTGGTGAATGCTGACACTGCAGATCAAGCCAGAGGGCCAAGGAGGAAAAAACTTTGTATGACAACTGCTAAATGGCTCCCTCTTACTTCAGGAAAAAAATGAGCTAATTCAGTTAATCATTTCCAGCTCAGTTCTATGTATCAAAAGGCAATTCCACCTCCTCCTCAGCTTGAATTCTGAGGACTCAGCTGTGATGAAGAACTTCAGAACTTCAGTTATGCTGGAGTTCAACACAATTATCAAAAATAATACAAGCCGTCAACAGATGAGCTTTTTTGCACGTTTCTAATGAGCTCTAAATCTCATATGAAAAATGTCAATTTACAATCCAATTTAAAATTATAAAAAACTTTAAAAAGTGAGCCTACTTTATATTAGTAAACTCCAAATCTCGCAATGCCAGTTTTCAGCAGAGGAAGAGCTGAGCTCCCGGGGCCAATTAGCCCCACCTCCCCTGGCCAAAATCAGAGATTGTACACATGACTGATCAAGTTGAAGAGATCTGTATTTGCTTTTTATCATGTTAACTTTCAGAGATCCAATTCCCTGTTTGCACTTTCTGTTAACAAAATTAAAATACATCAACACTACCTAGAAAAAACCAACCAAAAAAAAAGTCCCAAACCCACAAAAAATAGAGAAGAAAAAAAAAAAACACAACAAAACCAAAAAAACAAACAACAACCCAAACCCAAAAGATTTTGGCTCACTTTTTTGTACATTCTAAGATTAAAGCACACTGCTGCAGTTTAGGTGGTCTCTCTCCAGAGTTTTCCTTTTAACACCAGCCTCACACATTTCAAGACAGCTTCCCCTGTGCATAAAACTCTTTGAGCTGCACACCAAACGCATCTGTCTTGCAGTTGCTTTCTACTCTGTGCAGTTAAGTCAGTTCTAAATATATCTGTTTTTCTCATGCAGTCATTAAGACACTTTTTCTCTGTGTGATGGAGGTATGTCCCCCCTGTCAAACAGCACAATGTCACAGAGAAACCATTAGGGGCAACAGAGGATTTTATAAATATGTTTTATAGCCAGGCCATCCAAGACAGCTTGGGGAGCTACAAGATATGACTTACTGTCATTATGTTCACTCACTGCAGAAACTTGAGAAATTACTTTAAAATCTCAGAGAAAGCAGGCTAGCTGCTGTCAGAGCCCATCAAACCAAAGTGTTTAACTCAAAGCAAATGGTAGCCTGCAACTGCTTCTCAAGGGAATGGCTTATTTACCCACACAAAACATTCTCTTATGCCTTTCACTTCATGAGCCATGCAAACCTGGACTTGCCCAGAAAGCTGCTGCTCACAGACCAACACCTGAGATCAGTGGCTCCTCACAGGAGCATACAACAAGTGCAGATCCACGGCCTTGATACTCTCATATCCTTCAATATTTGCACAATGAACTAACATGGAAACGCTCTTTTTCAAAAGTCACTAGAGCTGGGTCTTATTTTACAGCATCTTCCAAAAGTTAATTTGTTTTCTCTGTTTGTTTGATTAATTTACTTCCTTGAATTTCAGTGTGCAGGTGCCTTCTCTGTACCATCAGACAACTCCAGCCTGGAAAAGGATGAATGCTCTGCAGATATTGCAGCAGGAGCACAAGAATGACTGAAAACACGCCTTGATTCTGTGAGCTGTCTGAGGAAAAAGCCCATTATGTCTCCCAAGTCTTCTAAACTGTGTGTGCTCAAAGGGGATCAAGTGCAGGTGTTTTGAGACTGAACACCAGTGTTGTTATCCACACTGATCTTCTCACTATAAATAGACTGCAGACTGCTACCAAATCATTCTTACAGCCAGATCTATCCTTCTAAAACCTGTCTTTCAGAAAAAAAAATCTTAATTCTTGAGGTAGAGATTTCAAGTGTTGAAGGGGTAAATTACATTTTAAAGAATACATTATATTTTTAGTTCATGAACAACCTCATCTTAGCCTCAGTTATGTAAAAACAATGGAACAAGGAATCCAACAAGCTTTTTATAAACATGAAGATGGCAATGAGCAGATGAGTGCAAACCAACTAATTCTAAATTTGCAGATGGCAGATTTTCTCTGAAGGCTTGAAAAGTTGCAGGCCCATGGGATTTTCCTTCTGCTTTGTTCAGCAGTGCAAATCCACAGCTGGAGCGCCAAAGCTCTGGAGAGGATCCAGAGGAAGAAAGTTATCAGATCTAGAAAACATGACCTACCAGGAAAGGAATTGGGTTTGTTTAAATTTAGAGAAGACTGATGTGAGAA